ATGGTCAGCTCAGGCGAGTTTTGGCAGTTGCTCCTGGACGTGGCGCATTTGCTCCTCTTCCTATGTCTAGCACTGGCCCCATGGCGCTTACTACAGTGCGTCTACTTTGCGTGCCGCCCTTCGCAGGTGCCATGACATGGGGTTCCCTGTAGATCAAGGGGTACCCCATGACATTATCATCCAGCTATTAGATGGGGGTTCTCCATTTATGGAAGCCTCCATTTGATGAAGTTTAGCTTTGAAAAATGCTTCAACCTAGTCTCCTGCAACACTTCGTAGACGTAGACCTGTCTTCCAAGGTGTGGCGTGGCACCTTAGCACGTCAGCTGTCAAGCTTGCTGCTTGTGAAAGAGGCTGAGTTGATCCGAGGGGCTGGGAAAGTCGGAAGACATGTTTCTTGGGAACTTTGCAATCTCGATGATGGAAAACATGCCGTGCAGAATTCCGGACTTTCTGTCTTGCGTGTATTGTATGATATTGTATGATATTGTATGTATTGTGGCCTCCCACCCTGCGATTTCTTTCGCGCAGAAGCAGATACAATTTTCGAGACTTGCAAATTATGCGTTCCTATTTAAGGCTGGTGACTTGCAGTGTAAACTTGCTGCTGCTGCTGCTGATGATGATGATGATGATGATGATGATGATGACTGGAGTCCAGAACATTTGACTTGAATCGAAGACGAAGGCATAAAAAATGAATTGTATATGATTGATGATGAATTCTACACTAAATTGAATTTAGATACAGATCTAGACATCGTTTTTTCCATGTCGTGGGTGGTGCCCCTTTCGCCAGGCCATGTTAAAAATCTACCGTCGAGAACTGGAACCGTTGCTGAATGCTGCCGCTAAGGATCCACCTTTCAGGATCTGGAACCGAAATCAGCTGGGGGAATTTCGCTGCGATTAGGCGGTATTTTTCATGTATATGTTTATACATAATATGTACTGTATATATATATGTATATATATATTATTATGTATATATATATTATGTATATATGAATACATATATATATACATGTATACATGTATACATGTATGTATGTACATACATATACATATATATATATACTTATATATATTATAATATGTACATATTCAAACATTTTTGGAACATGTTCCGGCAAGACGTGTAAAAGGATTGGTCTACATGGTAAATGCCTTTCTTGGGAGGGTGAAGACGGGGGTAAGGGTTCGACCTATCTCCATTTCCAGCCAACCAATTGTGGTACGTGGACATTTGGCTTGATATGCATACACTTTCTCTCAACCGAAAATGAGGTCACCAACTAATGGAGGATGTGTATATATATATACACAAACATATATACACACATAAATACATGAATAATTCTAGGTGTGCACTAGTGTACTATCTCCTTTTTTTCCAGGCCAAGAAGGCAAGCTCTTAAAGTCCAAAAAATGAAGGCCTCGTTTCATCCACGTCATCAGCAGGACTTCGGAAAAGCTTCGAGAGGTGGCCGCCAAGCTGCTTGGCCGGCTGCCCATGCCGGGCAAAAACGGTGAGATGGGACTGCTGTCAGAGCTACAAGCCTCAAACGATGAAGTGGCTATGGCTTTTGTGGAGAAAGTGAGACCTGGCTGATGCGGAAATTTTTGGATCATATATACATAATAATATATATATGATATATATATATATATCATATATTACTGATATATATCATATATATATATGTATATATATATATATATGATATATTACTGATATATATATATATATATGATTCCCTTTTTTCCCATGTTTTTTTTTGGGGATCCGGCATGTCCAAGAAGTGGACTCATTTCTCAGCGATCCAGAGTGACCCAAAGACGTTTTTTGCCTTTCCGAAAGCGACGTCAATCAGATCCGTCCATCGGAATCATGGCCTTTTCCTGGCCCGCTTGGCCAGGAAAAATTACTCCTTCTTGCAGAACGCTGTGTCCAGTTACTGGCCTGGCTTGACACTGGGTGCAAACCTACTATTGCTCAAGAAGTCCTTCAACCCACAGGAGCATGCCCCTTGTCAAAAAAAAACACGACCTTTGGCAGCTGTTGCAGAAACTGGCCCAAAACGATGAATCAGATTTGGAGTTCCAAATTTGAGAGGGAGACCGCATGAAGAAGGATTTGTGCGTATTAATGGGGGGATAGCTCAAGAATGCTCAAAGTTGCCATTTGGGGCAAAAAAAGCTGGGAACATCGGAACATCATTTTTTTTACCAACACAAATATGTGGGGCCTCCGATCCTTTCGCCCCGAGCTTGAAATGATTCGTTTGGCACCGGAGAAAACCATGAAGAGCCATCATTACCTGAAAAGGGGTTTACAACATTTTACAAATGGGTGTTTCCATATATGGGGTTACCCCAAAAATGATAGTTTTTTTTTTAATGGAAAATCCCCATCTTAAATGGATGATTTGGGGGTACCACCATTTATGGAAACCCCATTTATGGTATTTCCATGTCTTTACGGAGTCGAAATCCTGAGTATCTTACCCTTTAGTCTCCATGACGAGCGTTTGCTTTGGGTTTGTGCCACACCAAGACTTTCTATAAAATATGTGTCCAAGAATGTAAAGTATAAATGTTTGCACAGATATGCAATTATCCAAACATCCATGTTTATAGTGCTTATCTTCCGCCATTTTTTTTGCAATGTCCCCTGTTGCAACTTAAGCACGTGTGAAGTACGTAGATGAGCTACGACCAGGTGGAATTTTTCACGATGCAACGGACTGGCCAGACAGGATGGGATTGGAATCAGACTGATGCAGAACCGTTTATTTTATCAATACAACTGATATCAACTGATTCCATTTTTTTCCAGATTCACATATTTTTAGATACAACTATAGGAAATACCAGAGCATCCAGTAACAGACCAACCATGGCAGCTAAGCATCGAGTCTGACTTTTTTGCGAATCTGAGGCGCTGTCTTTGGAAAAGATCGCCAGTGCTCAAAGCCGCGCTGACGACTTGTTATTGACCTTGGCAGCAGAAGTGCAGGCGCGGTTCTGCAGAAAATGACGCTGTGTCACATCGGACATCACCTGGTGCCGGAAAAAAAAACCCAAGCAGCGCTTAGAACCACCTAAACCATAGTACTTATCTGTGGGGGTGTTTAATATCATTAGCATTTGAAACTGGTCAAGATGCGTTTCCATCTGGAAGTTGAAAAGAGCTCGTTGATGCCTTTTCAAAACTTTCAACACTTTAATTGTGAGTCCAAAAGGCACACACAGAGCAGACAATCAATATACAGTTAATAGTTAATATACATCAATTAAAACATAACAGCACAGCAACTTTCAAACAAATAAACAATAGTAGAAAAGACACATCAGAAAAAAAGCTAACAAAAACAATTGGGTTGGGGAAACAGGTGGCGGGGAGGAAGGCGGAGGCTCAAAAAACGCAAAACGTGCCCCCCCCCACCAATGCAACAAACATATTAAGCAAACAAAAGAAGAACATAATCAGAACACTAGAAGACAGGTAAACAAAAGCAAACTAACAAATCACAAGAAACAATCACAGATCAGAAACATGATTGGTTTGTTTGTATTTTGAGCAGTTCTTTTTTGCAGCCAACTGAGATCCCAGGCTGCCAGCGTTGAATTCCACAGCCCCAACGATGCCGGTCTTCTGAGCAGTGCATGTCGAAAGCCGTTGTCCGAACATAGGCAGCCGAGTGAAGCTTTTGCACAGAGTCTGGGATGGTGTTTCAACAAGAATCTAGTTGAAACATCAGTTTCCCATCAGAAAAGATCAGTGGAAATGACTAGACCACTGTTTCCACTGGAAACTCTCGACACGATGGGTGCGGGAATCTATTTTTTAGGGCTACCTCCTTGGGTTCCCTATGAAGTGAGCGATTTCTTCGGAACCCATTGTTTTGGGCGTTTTTCACATGAGAGGCGATTGGTGCAGATCTTTGCTTGTGAAGTTTTGAAGGAGACCTGTGGATCCTGTTGGGTTCTCACTGCTGATCCCGGGTAATTCTTGTTGGTCACAAACGTACCGGTCCTTATGAAAACCGATCTCCGGTATCTACGTTTTGTACCGCAACCTTTACAAGTCGTCTGTGTACCTCCAAAACTTCATGAAACTTCATGAATTATGATTACTGGTTGGTGGTTTGGAACATGAATTTTATGACTTTCCAGAAACAGTTGGGAATGTCATCATCCCAACTGACTTTCACTCCATCATTTTTCAGAGGGGTAGGGCTCAACCACCAACCAGACTATCATTTCCCGAAGTTGTGGTCTCTTTGGGTATCCTGGTATCATTGTTGAACCCATCGAAGACAAGTGCAGGACTATGGAACTTTGCTGCTGGGCTTCCTGCTGCTGATCTCCGTCTACCGCTTGCCCGCCGTTGTTGAAGGTCTACGCCAGGAACGACAAGCAGATTTCGTGCAGCGGATGAGGATCGTGCTGGGCTGTCAGGCCACTGCCAACTGAGCAAGAAAATAACTTATGGGTAAAATAGCATAACTATGGAAAGATCCACCATTTTTTATGGCTCATAAATCAACTATTTCGACTGGGCCATTTTCAATAGCTATGTTAGTTTACCAGAGGGTAAGGTTGATGGGTTATAGATGGTTATAGGTAATTATACTGGCTTATTGGGGGTTATTCAAAGTTTTTTTTTAAAGCCATAGTAGGGAAAACATGGGAAAGCTATCAAGCAAGTAGTATTTTTTTATGGCTCAACTAGCTTGACATAGGGCGGGGGTTCGCTTCGGGCGTAAATTTTGGCTCGCTTCGGGCGTAAATTTGGTCTCGCTCCAGGCGTAAATTTGGTCTCGCTTCGGGCTTAAAGTTGTTCCATAGGCACTGTGGCAGGCGCAGCCCAAGAGCGAGCAAGTAATACCAGATGCCAAAGGGCAAGTCAGCATATAGCGTCTCGTTCAATTCATGCTGTGATGCCTTAACGTTTCTGTGCTCCTCGTGTCTGATTACTTGAGCGGATATAAGGCGCATGTAAATGCAACGCAGCTGGGTCTGCTTGGGTGCCCGGATGTTATGTTTCGTTCACTTAATACGGCGCACATGAAATGCAACTACACATAAAGGTCAGTCGCTCGCTTAGGCGTGCGTGTTTTCTCGCATAGGACTACGTTTTTCATATATGGCTACAGTATCAATAGAAACATAGATCGATGTATTTGAACATGTCTTCAAAAGGCTTGTACATGTGTGACAGAGATGATCATCAGGACAGTATCATTGAATCATATGCCGAAGAAGACGTTACAACGTATCAGGAACGTATTTCAAGTGACTTGACGAACATGTTAGAACGTAGCAGGATCACTTTGCAATTGACTTGAAGAAGATGTGACAACGTGCCAGGAACGTGTTGCAAGTCACTTGAAGAACATGTTACAACATATGAGGAACATCTGGCAAGTCACTCGAATAAGAGCTTACAACGTATCAGGAACGTCTTGCAAGTTACTGACAAGTAGGAAGGTGTTGCAACGTATCAGGAACGTCTGCCAAGTTATTTGACGAAGAGGTTACAACATACCAGGAACATCATTCAATTTACTTGAACAAGATGTGATAAGTGTTAACGTGCCAGGACCGTCTTGCAAGGTACTTGCAGAAGATTTTTACAACGTCTAAGGAAGGTGTTGCAAGTCACTTGAAGAAGGTGTGTCAACGTATCAGGAACATCTGACAAATCACTGCAAGAAGAATTAACAACGTATCAGGAACGTCTTGCAAGTTACTTAGAAGTAAAGAAAAACAAGATATATCGATGTATGTGAACATGACCTCAAGAGGCTTGTGCATGTGCATGTGCATTGTCATTGAATCACAGGCTGAGCATGCATTTCCTGTTTGCTGAGCATGCATTTCTTGTTGAATCAGACCGCATGTCCCAGCCCCGAGTCCCCAAGTGTTATTCTAAAGGTCTCATTCCAGGATGCTGCTCCCCTAAACCCACCCCATGTCCCAGGTCTCATTCCAGGATGCTGCTCCCCTAAACCCACCCTATGTCCCAGCCCCGTAACCCCATGTCCCCTCAACCCACCCCATGTCCTCTTCTTACATCAACTGCAACAACATATAAACCCTAAAGGGGTCGTGGCCCTTCTTAGCTTAAGTGCAAGAACATATAAATCCTAAAGGGGTCGTGGCCCTTCTTACATTAAGTGCAACAACAAATAAACCCTAAAGGGGTCGTGCCTCTTCTAAGATTAAGTGCAACAACATATAAACCCTAAAGGTGTCGGGGCTCTTCTTACATTGAGTGCAACAAGATATAAACCCTAAAGGTGTCGTGGCTCTTCTTAGATTAAGTGCAACAACGTATAAACCATAAAGGTGTCGTGGCCCTTCTTAGATTAAGTGCAACAACCTATAAACCCTAAAGGGGTCGTGGCCCTTCTTACATTAAGTGCAACAACATATACACCCTAAAGGGGTCGTGGCTCTTCTTAGATTAAGTGCAACAACATATAAACCCTAAAGGTGTCGTGGCCCTTCTTACATTAAGTGCAACAACATATACACCCTAAAGGGGTCGTGGCTCTTCTTAGATTAAGTGCAACAACATATAAACCCTAAAGGTGTCGTGGCCCTTCTTAGATTAAGTGCAACAACATATAAACCCTAAAGGGGTCGTGGCTCTTCTTAGATTAAGTGCAACAACATAAAAACCCTAAAGGTGTCGTGGCCCTTCTCACATTAAGTGCAACAACATATACACCCTAAAGGTGTCGTGGCCCTTCTAAGATTAAGTGCAACAACATATACACCCTAAAGGTGTCGTGGCCCTTCTAAGATTAAGTGTCAAAAACATATACAGCCCAAAAGGGGTCCGGTGATCTCTTCTTAGATATAGCAGTGCAAACAACATGTCAACACCCTAAGCAGGTGAGTGGCCCTTCATCTCCATTAAAGTGCACACAACCATATATAAACACCCTAACAGGTGTCGTGGGCTCTTTTACATTTGAGTGCATACACACATATAGAACGCCCAGTACGAAAGGAATGGTGCGTAGGACTCTTCTAAGCAGTTAACGTAGTTGCAAACCAGAAGCACGCATAAAAACCTTAAAGGTGTCGTGGCTCTTCTTAGATGAAGTGCAACAACATAGAAACCCTAAAGGTGTCGAGCCCTTTTTTTGCTGAAAGTGAGTCCATTTATGCCTGAAGTGAGCCCGGATATGCCTGAAGTGAGCCCAGATATGCCCAAAGTGAGCCCAGATATGCCCAAAGTGAGCCAGATATGCCCAAAGTGAGCCCATTTTATGCCCAAAGTGAGCCTCGAAAATTTATGCCCAAAGTGAGCCCGAATTTATGCCCAAAGTGAGCCCCTCGCCCTTGACATAGACCATGGCACAGAAAGATATACGCTCCGGTAAACTAACAGTTTGCTATTGAAAAATGGCTCATTTATAGTTGATTGACCCATTAAAAATGGTGATTTTCCATAGTTTTTTGTAAACGTTTACCAGAGGGTAACATTTTTTTTCATAATCACCATTTTTAATGGGAAAACTCACTATAAATGGTGATTTTCAATAGCTATGTTAAATTACCAGAGGGTAGTGAGTTCGATGAGTTTCCCAGCTTGAAAATTCCTCGTCGAGTTAGTTCGGACACTAAAAATCCTGCCTACGCTGGATTACCGAAGGGTAGCTGCAGAATTTCTTCAAGACAAGAACTGGTTGGTGGTGACTGGAACCATGGAATTTTGAATGACTTTCCAGAAACAGTTGGGAATTTCATCATCCCAACTGACTTTCACTCACTAATTCCATCATTTTTCAGAGGGGTAGGGCGAGCTCAGCCACCAACCAGAGAATGTTGCCGTCTTCGTGTCACGTGTGTTCTCGTTTTCAGGTGAGACTCTTTATGTGGGATTTGTGGATGCTCTTCACGGCGATTTTAGCGGCCAAGCTGCATCACATTCAGTACGAAGCTGTTGGGCCTTGTAAACTTGAGAGGAGGAAACCTAAGTGACAGCACTACCCTACCCGGGAAATCATGCTAAAATGATTCCTTCTAAATTTTCAGCATCCAGCTGGGCCAACTCTTCCCTACCAGAGGTTTTTCGCTTACGTTCCCGAGGCAAGTCTCTTAGCCATCGTCACATTGGTTCGCGCCCTGGAGTCACTGAGCAAACAAATATCTCCAGAATTTTGGTGAAAATTTTGGGGCCGGGGCAAACATCACCAGCAAATTTCATGGCGAATCATCGCCGGCACCTTTTTTTTTCCCCACATGGAAGACACACTTTTGAAGATGGGCCCCATGGGCCATTGACAAAGCCACCTGTTTTGCAAAAACATACCCGGCCTGGTAAACGTTTACCAAAAAACGATGGAACATCACTATGCTATTAATGGGGATTCATCCACTATAAATCGACTGGGCCATGGCTTCAATAGCAAACTGTAACAGTCATTACCAGAGGGTAAGTTAAATTCAGGATCAAGTCGAAGTCGTCCATTGAGACATCATGCTGCAATTGGATGCAATTGGCTGGACATGCTGGACTTGTTGTTGGGCTTTTTTGGATGTGTATATACTCTGTAATGTCAACCCTGGATTAATAAACCCCAAACGCCTGTTTAATTGGGAAGGTACCATTTAAGTATTGGATTATGACTATTGGAGGGGTACCCCCCTAATTAATAAACCATGGTTTATTAATCCGGGGTTGACATTATACCTGATTGGTGCCGTTTTTGTGACTGACAGACAGTTTGAACATTGTTTGAACATTTTGAAGGAAGAACACCTATAAGAGAGCGGGGCCGATTGATTCCAAAGTCTTGATTTGGCCATGAAAAAAAAAGTGCCACTTTCGAAGTTATCCGAAAATCTCTTAAGTGGCGTCCGTTATGCTGTTTGATCCACGATATTCATCTCTAGATTCGAAGGAGATTACTTGGGTCTGGTCAAAGTTAAATTCTGCCATCCAAAGAGCTGTGTTTTTCCAGCAAGTTCGAAATCTAGAAGCCCACAGAATTTCCATGTCAGTTTTCTACCCTCTGGTTATGACTAACATAGCCATGGTATAGATGGTCCATAGAAATAGATGGTTTACCTATTGATAGCATGGTGATTTTCAATGGCGAACTGTGAATCTGTTAGTCATAACCAGATGGTAATGGCTTTGTTGTTGGCTCATGACATCAGCACATCCGTGGATTTTTGGAACGCGGACAGGTTCCTGCGGACAGCGTTCCTTCATTGCGAAAGCCTCGAGGATTTAAGGAGAGAGGCATGGGATGCAACCAAGGATGCCCTCAACAGCCGCCTGGCGGGGAAAATACTGGGTGCAGTTGAGGTTAATGGGGCTCTGGTGGATTTGTGGTGGGTTTCTGGTGGAATTTTTGAAGGTTGGCGTGGATTTTGCGCATGTGTTTCCTGTTGTTTAGAGAAGAACACAACGGTTTTGCGCATGTGTTTCTAGGTCTTATACTTTCAGAACAAGTAAATTCGTATGTGTTCCCACACAAAGACCAAAAAAGTGATTGTAAACATGTATGCGTTAAACATGTGTTTCCACATCTGCACACATGGTGCTCAAAAATCTCGACATTCGGGATGTGCTTCCACAAAAACATGGGAACGCGCATGTGTATACTCATGAAAACACCAAAATGGCAAGGGAACGCGGTTGTGTTTCCAGCTCTCATCACCATCGTGCTTGGAAACGCGTATGTGTGAAAAATGTGTTTTTTGTGTTTCCTCAAGACTGAAATCCATAGCTGTTTTTCTCGCTCAAGCTCATCCAAACCGCTGTTTTTGCCAGAAACTCTTCACATGTCGAGATCAAAAGCTAAGGAATTACATGCAACGCGAAAAACGGAACCTGCCAGAATCACATGACAAATTGCGGATTACACTACAAAAATTAGCGCAAAAAACACACAAGATATAACTTAACTTACAAAACCTATAACCAAACTTAACATAACTACAACTTAACTTCCCTAAGTCCATTTATAAAGCCCCTAAGTCCATCTTAACTCCAGGCACAACATTGTATATCATATATATATAAGGTTCTATCCCAACTTATGGATTTTTACAACCAGAGTTACATATACCGATATAGTGATGAAAGCTGCACCCCAAAGTGCTGATGCTAGATGGGAGCCAATGCCTTCCTGAGGCATTGGAGAGCTGTTTATCCTCTTGACTTTCTGGGACAGCTACAAGACGTTCCGAAGCTGTAATTTTTGTGACTCCCAGGTGGCCGGGGTGATGAGGACAGGAATTCTGGTCAGATCAAGGCGTTGTTTCCACACAACTCCGGAGTTTTTTAAAACTTCGAGACGCGCCATGACATCATTAAAATCACCATGGAATCAGCGCTATGACTCGTGTCGTGTCCGAGGCTTGTGTATGCGAGCATCTTCGCTGTGTTGCTGCCTGCGTGGGGCCTAACCCTGCTGCCACTCGACCGATGATTCGCAAGCTGTTCCTAGATGATCTGCGATGATTCGCTCCGTTTGGCATTAAAAATAACATCATAGAACTAGATCCAGATAGCAAGCTGGTGCCCAAAGGCATGCACATGGGGAGGAGATGTGACACATACAGGTAAGCTAAAAAGGATGCTTCAGCACATGTCATGAAACCAAGGATCAGTGTACTGTATCACTATTTACAAATTTGTGAGACAGACAGGACATACTTGCAAACAGGTGCCTTACTTTTTTGGTAAGGCCCTGCTGTATTTGTTTTCGTTTCACTAAAATGATGTTTTCACTCAAATGGTGTTCCCAACGAGTTGGCGATCCGCAATCAGGGGATTGATGCCCCAGGCCGATTTGGATGCGTATTGTGCTGTGGTTAGCTTTGTGTTTCTTGCCTTTCCTTCTACCTTCGGCTTCGTACGCATTGTGGACCTTCGCAGTGGTGGTGGCCATGTTTTTTCTCATCGCCCTCGTGACTTGGCAGGATGCCAAAATCCAATTGGTACTGGCATTGTGCAGTTTCAGTGTGTGAAAGGTCTGAGAAGCTCCAAAAAGGATCAAAAAGGTAGAATACGGTAGAATCCTGGAAGGTTGTGATTTTCTTCTGCTAGAACACTTCTTTTCGCAAGCCTCAGGTTTGTCGGAGAGTCCATTTGAAAAGAAGTTTTTTTTTTCACCTGCCAGGTGAAAAAGGGTTCGGGGAGTGGTGGTGTACCTGCACACTTGAAAACAATGCGAGTTTCAGGTGCCTGGAAACTGGTCAAGTTTTCTGCTGGGGTTTGGCTGTTGGCTCATTTTGGCTCAACATTTTCTGGTTGGTGGTTTGGAACATTTTTTATTTTTCCATATATTGGGAATAATCATCCCAACTGACGAACTCATATTTTTCAGAGGGGTAGGTATACCACCAACCAGTTTTGGGCGCGGGTTTTGGAAGATATCGAGGGAGTGCCTCAGATTTTGATGAACATTTGATCCATTTCTACAGTGTTGACCATTTTGGCGAAGTTGCGCAGAACTTCTTTTCCAAGACAACGGCAGGCACTGGACTGATAGATTATTTCTAATGGAGATTTAATAGGGTTTAATCAGGTTTAATTGGACCTACTGGATAGATCTAGTGGGAGCCAGTGCCCTTGCAATATCTTGCAATCATTACCATTCTTGTTCACGAGTCTTCTCGGTTGGTTGCAGCCTGCACAGCACGGGATACAGCAATGTGATGGGCGAAAACTATTGGTGGTCAAAATCCACCACGAATGTCCCTGTACAATGTGAGGCCCCCAAGATAGCTAAGTTGGTGAACATAACTCCAATGTCACTATGGTTTATGGTACTTATAACTATAGTTACTGGGGCGAGTCTAAACCAACTTAGCTATCTTGGGGGCATCATGTCCCTGTAGGCATGAATGTTTTGGTGCTCCTTTCCATCTTTGCGGATGCAGCGCTATTGTCCTCATTGACGTACCTGGAACCAGTCCTGCAGATGGAGCTATGCTTCTACATAGCGACAGGCATCACTATTGCTTGGTTGGTGGTCATGTCGATGCCTCATGCGATGTCTTCAGATCAAAACTGTTTAAAGCCTCTGGTTTGCAGATCTGGATCCAACAAATCTCGGGAAGTATCGGATGGGAAGTTTCGGGTGGGATTCTGGATGGGAAGTTAAAAAATGGGCCATCGGATGGGAGCTTTTTTAAGTCATTCCTGTGTTGTGACCTGTGATGGAAGAATAGCTCTGCAAAGTAGAGTAATAGCTCTGGTAGAGTAGCCATCCATTTTTTACAGTGACGGAATCACCACAGATGAAGTACGTATGCCAAAGATATCACAACCATGTCTGGACGAAACTGCAAAATCTGGAATGTTTCAGTAAACCTGTCTTCCGGGAAGATTTTGCTTCTCGAGTCGGTGTTTTCTGTGCATTATCACAACCTTAGCTATCCAATGGCTGCTTTGATAGCAATAGTTGGAAGGGACCATTGAAGTCGATGTGGAACTTGCGATTTTTTGCTCCGAGGTCAGGGAAATTTCATGTGGCACTGCAACTCTTGCGGCGATGTTTGTTACCTGCAGCCGTGGTCTTATTGATGCAGATGGATGGTGAATTTTCTCGTGTGGCCTGCCTTCTGTTGCTGGCTGCAAATTAGTTGTCTCGCACATGGTGGCCGGAAGAATAAAACCCCTGCGGGACGATCCCGAATTGGCTTGGAAAAACCATACGTAAGAAAAGCCTGGCCTGTTGCTGGCAGAGGTCTAGCGGTTCATCATCGTTCATCCATGTTTATCCGGTGGAAACATGAAACACAACCATGCCAAGCTTTTTGTCTATCTTTGTCCAACACCTTGACTCTCTGGGACTGGACTTGGGACACTGGCACCCGAAAAACTTCGCTGGAGGTTGGCGTTTCTGTCCTTCACATCTGTGCTGGGGTTGGACCTGCTTTCGCAAGACCATCTACCTGATGCGCGCCTCTGCATGACAGGATGCAGAAGTGGTTTTTTTCGAATCAAACTCAACAGACACCAGAAGTGCTCGGACGGTGATTTGGTGAATATCTCACAACCTACAGGGTGAATGTCATAGGGGTCCTGTGAAAAATGTGAAAAGCATCTGCCTTTCAGGACATTTTTAGCGGCCTCATCCGGCCTCGCTTGCCTCATGCGGCCTCGCTTCTAGGCTCAAGCGGAGCGGACACTCCTTGGACGCTCCTGCGACGGCCGACCGTTATGCTGTGTGGATGGCCCACCTCTGCCGCGACGAAAGGTGGACGGCCGCCGTCGTCTACGGTGCAATCTGCTCAGGTCATCCAGGCACGTCGCCCTTAAATTCGGGGGGTGTAGTAGCGCGTGTTGGAGAACAGTGTTTGCTTATGATTCTTTATCCATGGCATGAGCTAGTTGGAGACTTAGATGACTTAGGACTTAGCAGGTCAAGAAGGCTGTGACACTGTGACGTTTGTCCTGCGACTAACAGTTTTTTCTAACAGCAATCCTCAGCAGATCAGCGTGGAATACCAATGCACTCATTGACGACTCGCAGCAGCCTTTACCGCATGACCCAGTGGCGGTGGAATTCCCAGGTGTGTCGAGAAGCCACATTTTGTTAGTCCCAGGTGTGTCGGCAGGTATTTGCAGATGAATGGCATAGGCAGTTTTGAAAAAAAAAATTACAGTATAACTGATTCTGAATGGGCTTTCCATGGGTTTCCTGCCCTTCTGGATTCGTTTGGTTCGCGATGACTTTGTTTTGGTCTACTGTTTGTGAGTGTTCTTGAAATATCTTCAAATCAGGTTCTCGATGTCTTTAGTATTCTTGGTCCTTCAGTTTTTTGCTTCATTCTCTGAGGGGTTCTTTGCATTGGGTGTGTTCATCAAGCAATTGGCAGTTTTGGCTGGAAATGTTGGGCTGGGAATCACATAGAACAACCTGAAGTGCAGCATTGAACAACGTACGTGTCGTACAGTGTCTTTCCCCCAGTCACCAGCAAGCGCAAGAGCCTTGTCTTGTCCGACAATGAGAAAGCAGCACAGCAGAATTTTCATGCCGAACTGGTAGAAGGCATTCGTGGAACTAGTTTGCAAGATCCAAACAAGATCTGGGTTGCAAGGTTGAAAAAAGCCTGGCTGCTTTTCCTAACCATATGTTCTATGTTGGGCCTTTGCAGGGCGCATGTTGGGAGTATGTTGGGCCCATGTTGAGGCATGTTGGACCATCTTGGGCCAATGTTGGGCTTATCTTGGGCCTATGTTGGGCCTATCTTGGGCCTATGTTGGGCCATGTTGAGCCCAGGCTTGGCAACTTAGCCGATTTTACGACATTTTGAAACCGTGGAAAACACAGGATTCTAGAACAAAAATAGCCCCCCCGCCACTCAAGCTTAATAGCTACACCCCATTTGGAAACCCAATGCGTTCACTTGAATTGTTGCGTTTAGTTGGGGAAAGATTTCTGGAAGTCGGTGCGTGCCACGCGTGCTGCGTCCAGGTGGTGTTTGGGAAGACATGTTTTGGAACATTGATATTTTTACCTGCGTTCTTGTAGGTTCGGAATTTCCCTAATGTGTCAGTTCCATTGGGGATTGGATTGTGTTGGGTTTTCCCCTTTTGAAATTTGGAGATGTGGTTGTGTTGAAATGAGGGGGATTGGTGGCGAGGGGTTCCTTTTTTCCATTTTTTTCCATTTTAGGGTATCGCCGGGGTATCGCCAGAGTATCGCCGGAAATGCGTTCGTGAGTTGTCTTGTCTTGTCTTGTCGCTGCTGCTGCTACTGAAGCTACTGCTGCTGGTTCTGCTGGTCCTGCTGCTGCTGTTGCTGCTGCTTACCTTCCCACTACCGAGCTGCGCGCGCCACAAGGGGTTGCACCTGTATCTTTGGTTGGTCGCTTCACTTTGACTGTAGTTACTGTAGTTGTGGTGAAACTTGCGTCCCATTGCGTTTTTCAACAGAATCATTCAAAATAGCCTAAAACAATGACTGCATAGATGCAGCGTCCACAATATGATTCCTAATTTTAGAGCCATAAAAACACCGAACATTAAACCAAATAGATGATTGCTGGCGCACAGCGTCCCATGCTGATTTGCATAATTTTGCACTGACTTCTGTGACTTCCTGAATGCGGAGCGTCCCATTGTGATTTGTTTTCGAACAGACGGTGCACTGACTTTCCCGACTGGGTGTATTGCAATCGTTTAATGCGTGCACAGAAAAAAGCACCTCAGCACCTTTGGCGCGGGCGGGTTGTGGCTATCAGTTTTTGATAGTTTTTGCATTGAAACTGTTTTTAGGGGTCGTGTTCGTGCTTTCTTTTGCTCCGCTGGCGGAGCTTGCGTAGAGAAAATCTAGTCCGTGCGGATTGACTAGCACATTCCACTTTGACAGATTTGGCTTCAGCCATTTTCCGCAGCTTAATATAGAGATTGGTAGAGTGGAAGAGCCAGTGCTTCATTTCAGAACTGACCCCAGCTCCAAGCTTCATCAAATGCAAAAGCACAGCTTTTCAGGTCAAGGCCGTCCAAGCGTGCGCATCCGGCGCATCCAGAAGAGATTGCCATCCCAAAGTCATTTGTTCAAAGCGGAATTCTGTGATAATTGTGTGATATTGTACAAAGTTTGGATTTGTTTAGTGTTTTTGCTGCAACATGTCTCTAAATTTTAGACTGTGGTGTCTCGAAATGTGTGTTTCGAGCCTTTTTTTTTGCCGTTTTCGAGGTATCTCCAATGGGCCCAGATTCCAGAGAAAGACCAGAAGCTCCCAATGGCCTGACTCATTACCATTGGACAGAACGCTTTGAGCTATTCAGATCCATGGTAGAGGCGCATCACTTGGGCTTCAAGGAATTTGTTGAGCGGCGCCGGCGCAAGGGCCAGTCTGGCTATGGCAGCTCTTACAGTGATCGAAGATGAGTAGAATCCGTCAGGAGAGTCCAGGAAAAACCAGCTGCGACTTTGGTGATGTGCATCCACAGATGATCGATTTCAGACACCAATCCTGGTGTTTCTTACCTTGCATGGCTTGGTATCAGTCATCATTGGTGATGACATGCTTGTGATGGGAAGGGGATGATTTCCCTATTTTTTTCCTGTCATGTCTTGTAATGTTTGTGAGCTTCTCAGTGCATTTTTTTGGCTTTGTCGGTGACGACGTCTGACATTTTCCCAGCGAATCATTTCCCGAGAAATCCCGTGGACGTGTTTTGCTTTTTCGCAGAGCGTTTGCCACAGATAGCCACCTTGATCGATCCATCCCCGTGTGGAAAAAGCCTTTGCAGTTTGAGCGCAGCTGCCGACCCTCAAAATGATGTCTTGATTTGAGTGCTGGTTTTGGCGACCTTGCATCGAGGCAAAGATTCTCCACATCTAGACCCGTTTGGGAGCTGAATTTTTGCAGGCACGATGAGTTGAAGTGGCATAATCCCATTCCCTTGAAAATTACATGGCCCGGCGACGCTCCCCCCGGGGAGCTTTATGGCCACTAAAATTGGGCGCCATCAGCGACGGATTGAGGCAGCTCAAGGCAACATGAACCCCACCAACCTGTCTGTCATAAGGGGATTTCGAAAGAGGACGAAAAAGAAGTTTCTGGGGGTGTACAAAAAAAGCATCTTTCATAGCACCCCCCGAAAAGAGAAAAACACGTCATAAGTATTTCGTGGGAGTTGACCGGCTGAACTATCTTTTTGGGGGTTAAATTCACCCAGGATTTCGTTTTTTTTTCAGCGCGAGCAAGCAATCACAGTGGTGACGACACAAAAAAGGCTGCGAATTCAGTTAACTCCCCAAAAGATAGAAGTTGGATGAAGTTGGTAAAGTCCCACTAAATAGCTATGATTTACTTTTCTATCTTGTTTGGGGGCACCACAAGTTGCATAAGTTGATCTGTTCCAAGGATTGGGCTGGACCTCGTTCAACCTCCTGCCTTCTTAGCGGGTCTCATTTTCGTGCAGATGGTCTTTACCGCAGCCCAGAATATGACCAGTATGTGGCCACAATGCGCTGCTGCAGTCTTGATGCCTGCATGGGTGATGGTCTTTCAATGTCTCGGTGCCTTGTCGGCCTTGTCTCGGTTTGAATTTCATTGTCATTGAATAATTTGTATATAGATAATGATAGATATATTTCCAGAAAATTTAGATATCACATATTGTCATTTGTCATATCTTTGACGTGACTTGAAGCTATTCGGGCGGCCTTCTGACATCAGCCCCGATTGGGAGCCACGATTTGGCAAGGTGGTATTGGCGGGCCACTTTGGGTGCTGCCACTTCAATTGGGGACAAGCCACTGAGCGAGAACGAAAGCGCCGTAAAGTGATGACTGGAAGCCTAGATTCTTTGGAAGGGAACTCAGAAGATATTCCTTTGATACATGAGAGATTTGTCAGAAATATTAATATAAGAAATATGCCTGCCTCTATTATGCTCGAATTTTACTTGGTGCTTCCGTATCCTCGTGCTGTGCATTCCTTTTTGCACATATTGCACATATCATTATGACATATTATGATTGTCATATCATACTCATTAGAGGGATTGGTTGCAAGAGAGGCATTGCGATTGTTGTCGGAGCAACATGGATGGAGCCAAGTGGTGAAAGTGGTGAAAGTGGTGAGCGGGGAAGATGATTCTTATTGGATTCTTCTGAATATTCTTACCATTCTTCACGTGATGCAATGATGCCTTTGGAGCATTCCAGGTTCATAAAGTTTATGATGAACAAGCTGAGCAGGATATTTTGGGATTACCCTCTGGTTATTTAACATAGCCATGGAAAATAGCCCATAGAAATAGATGATTTTCCCAGCTATAAACCTCCATTTATGGTTGGGATTTTCCATGGCTATGTTAAATAACCAGATGGTAGTTGCAGTATTCCTTTGGGCGACCCAGGTACAGTGGTCCTTTGGTCGGCCTTGGTTCGAGCCATGCCGGCAATGTCCGCAGTAGGAGGCCTGAGGATTGGTTGACGGGGAAAAAACATACAGTGAAAAACCAGGGTTTCCTGTAGTTTTTCCCAGAAAAACCAATCCTTTCTGAATTTCTCCATTTATTTTTGTTCGTTTCTGGCTTTTTTTTGATCACGGACCAACATTTTGAGGATCATTTTGGTACCAAGCAGTTGGGTATTTATGTCAATTTGCTATGGTATCAATGGGAGATCTCCAGGATCCAACTTATGGAGGTACGTCGGTACCATTTTTTTAGGCCATATTTTGGAGGGATATCCCCTGAAATTTAGCCCTTACAGTATATAGGCCTTATATATGGTAGGTACCTCCAATCAATCGCTTCCTGAAATTCCCATTGATGGTGTCGGACTTGTTTGGCCGATGGGATCTGTGGGGTCCCGTGGGGTCGTCGAAGAAGGCGCTGCAGTGGTGACACTATGCGCAGTCATTGCGATGCTCCTCAGCGAGTGTCTGGCACAAAGAAGACGACGTGAAGCGATGGAAAAGGCTGGCGTTGCCAAGGCATCGATTGGTGGTCGATTGGTTCACCTTTTCTGACGGTGGAGTGAGGGGTGGAGGGGTCATAGTTGTGGAGCTACTGTGATTTTCTTCACAGGAAAGAAACCTGTCCGTCTCGCCCGAGAGGTCTTGCGCCAAATCCTAGACAAGCTCACCAAGAAGGGTATGCAGCTGGAAAATCACCACACACCGCAAATCTGCGATACGCTGAGTCCGCAGTCAGTGGCGAAGGACTTGGAAAAACAACTTCGAATAACATAGAATGACAGTTTCGCTTGATTTCCCCTGTGTTACCCTCTGGTAAACGTTTACATAGCTATAGAAAATCACCATTTTGAGCCATTTTCCATAGCTATGTAAACGTTTACCAGAGGGTATTGAACAATTCCTCTATGTTCCAGTTCGATTCCGAAACAGATTTGGCAGGAACTCCAGGCCTTCGAGGAATCCACACGGATGGAAGGACTTAGCGTTTCCTTTCTGCAGAACCGAAAGGAATGGCTGGCCACCTTGCGCAGAGGCCGGAACGACTACGAAGCTCGAAAAAAATCATGGGAAATGTTGGACTCGATCTTAAGATGAATGATGGGGGTCCTATACCCCTAATTTTACATTTTTTTGACAACCGGCAACCGGCAACCCGCCAACGGGCAACCGGCAACCCGCCAACCGGCAACCACAACGGTTTGTTATGTTTTCTTTGGGGTTGCTTTTGAATTTTACGCTTCGTTTGTGGCTTCTTTATGGTTGGCTTTGGGCTTTCTAGGGTTGGCGTAGGCTTTATTCCCAGTGGTTTGCTCAGGGTCAGCTTGTGGTTTCTTAAGAGTTTGTTTTGCGGTAGCTTTTGGTCAGTTTTCGATGCATTTAGGGTTGGTTTAGGGATTATTCTCGGGTGGGTCCAGGCTTTACTTTGGGTTTGGTGAAGGGTTGGTTTAGGGTTTCCTGGGGATGTATCTATTGGCTTCTTCGGGTTTATTGAAGGTATGTTTATAATCTTTACCTTTGGCGAGTTTATGGTTTAATTAGTCTGGAATGGTTTAGGTTTGTTTTCGGGTTGGTTTCAGGTTTGTTTCAAGTTTCATTAGATTGCTGTGGGTACGTTTCGGGCTTGTTTTGAAGTTATGGTTACTTTGGCTTATTGTATAGGATTGGGTTAGCGATTCTCTCGGGTGGGTTTAGGGTTTGTTGTAGGCTTGGCTTGATTAACTTATTTCGACTGGGTTTAGAGTTTCTTTCGGGTTGGTTTGGGGTTTTGTAGGCTTGGTTTAGGGTTGGTTGCAGTGGGGGTTCTCTCCTATTTAGGGTTAGTTTAAAGTCTATTGAGGGTTGGTAAACATTGGTAAACTATTTACATTCGTTTTTGGTGTAGATTTGTGTTTATTTAGGGTTGCCCTGCGGTTTATTTCGGTTGGTATTTCTTTCGAGTTGATGGCTAGGTGCCCTTTGGGATTGATTTAGGATATATTTAGGGTTGGTTTAGGGTTTGTTGAGAATTGTTTTTTGGATTTGCGTGTTCAGATAGGGTTGGTTTAGGGTTCATGTAGGGTTAGCGTGTTTATAGAATGGGCTAGCGCCCTGGTGCCGCCGACCCCTCTATTGGGGGTGGTCTGGTAGAGAGAGAGAGCAGAAACCCATGCAGAGGAACCAAATAAGTTTAGGTGCCAAAAGATATATTTTGTCGGAGTATTTGTTTGGGTTGATGTTGAAATCACCATTCTTTTCTGGGACGGTGTCGCAATGGAGACTCGACATTTTTATGAAACAGATGGAAGGAAACACAATAAGTTAATAAGATTTTTCCAAAAAATGTATCATCATTAGCAACTCTTACACGCATATATGGTGAATGTCCACGATAGTTTTGAGAACTTGATCAAGATCAGGTAGCAGAGCACGGAAATCCCCCAGTGATCTCCCCATGTCACCTGCGAGTTCGTGGAGTTCCCAAAATCGCTCCGTTTCTGATGGATTTCTCCGATTTCTGGCCACGAAATGCACCGGTTTGTTTGGTGATCTGCCCCAAACTTCCATGGTTTATCCTTATAATTCCCATACAATGGCTGGTTGATGGGTATAAATCATGTTCACAGATATCCACGTGAAGTAATGGGAAGATGAGTTGTACCATTGATCGTCGGCGATGTCCCAAGTACACCATGGTACACCAACTTAGCTGCTGACACTGGTGACCAGGGAATATCCGAGGCTGAGATGTCAAGGGCAATCCGAATACTCCAAGTCACAGCGTATGCCACCCTCGTTTTTCAGGCTACAGTGAAGATTACCCTCTGGCAAACCAACAGTTTGGCAAGCTTGGACGCCCATAAAAAGCCATGGGTGTGGGCTTTTGCTTGCGATGGAAGCCCATAAGAAGCCATTGAAGTGGCCTTTTAGGGGTTTTAGGGGTTTGGAGGGTTTGGAGGGTTTTAGGCCTGGCAAACGGCAAGCTTGGACGCCCATAAAAAGCCATGGATGTGGGCTTTTGCCTGCGATGGAAGCCCAGAAGAAGCCATTGAAGTGGCCTTGTAGGGGTTTTAGGGGTTTGGAGGGTGTTAGGCCTGGCAAAGGCAGCTTGGACGCCCATTAAAAAGCCATGG